GAAAATTTGCAATTAAAATTCTTAAAAAGTTGATTTTCAAAAATTCTAACAAAATACTTTAAAAAATTAATTATTTTCAATTAAATTTTACAAAATTTCAATTATTTAAAATCTTTTTAATTGCATATTTCGAAAATTGAATTAGAAAAATGATTCAAAATTAATTTTTTTTTAAATTAAATTAAAATAAAAATTAAATTTTTAATAATTTTTGAAAAAGTTCTTTGAGAATTTCTATTTGTTTATAGTTCAATTATTCGAAAATTCTTTAATTAAACTTTTTAAAAAAAATTAATTTTACAGAATTGTTAGTTAAAAGTATTAAAAATTCCGATTTTAAAAGATTTTAATTTGAAACGTTTTCAAAATTCAATTATTTCTAAAAATTCTTGCTATAATGCTTTTTATATTCAATTATATTATCTAAAATTTTAACATAAAATTCATTTTTAAATCAATTTTTATAAAAAAAATTTCACGTGAATTCAATTATTTAAATACAAAAATAAATAAATAATTTATTGCGAATAATTAAATGTTTCTTAAAATTGAATTCTCATAAAAAATTTTATGAACAAATTTTTAAATATTTGGATTCTTTCGACGAATTCTAATAAAATTTTTAAGAATAATTAAATTTTTCGAGGAATTCGAATAAAATTGTACTAAAAATAATTGAAATTCTGCGATGAGTTTTATTATTTATGAAAATAATTGAATTTCTGCGATGAGTTTTATTATTTATGAAAATAATTGAATTTCTAAAAAGAAGTTTTCATATTTTTAAAAATAATTAAATGTTTGCGTAGAATGTTATCAACATTTTTTTTAAATAATTGAATTCTTATGGAAAATTTTATTAAAATAGTAGATATTGAAAATTTTTGAAAATAATTGAAATTTTGCAAAGAAGTTTATTAAATTTTTTGAAAGTAATTGAATTTTAGAGAGGAATTTCATTATTTATAAAGATAATTGACATTTTGACAAGAATTTTTTTTTAATTTTAGAACATACCTAATTAAATTTCTGCGAAGAATTTTATTACCTTTGAAAATAGTTGAATTTCTGCAATCATTTGTAACTTCTCAAAAATTCATTTTTTTTAGTATTTTATCTCAAATTCTTCTATAAATCCATTATTTTCATGAATTAATTAAATCTTACATATTAAAAAATTTAACTAATTTCAGAAGAATTTGAAGTATTAAAATTTTTCAAAAATCTAAGTTCTTTCAAATTTCTAATTAAATTCATTAAAAATTGAAATTTTATAAAATTACAAATTAAAACTTTTCGTTTTTATTATAGTTCTTCGAGAATTAGGTTATTTAACAAGAACTTATTGTCAGAAATAAAAAAAATTCGTGGTATAATTTCATAGTTTATAAGGCAAACAAAACAAACCAAAATTCAGAATTTTTTTTATGAATTCTAAAAATTTAACTTTTTTCTATACCTTTTATAAAAATTCTTGACTTTGTTCCCTGATTTTCCTGACCAATTTTAGTTTCCCTGGCTGAATAGAAAATTTTGCAATTCAATGAATAACAAAAGATTTTGCAAAATGCAATTTTCAGAGGTTATAATTTTCTGCCAACCATGTGGTTGCAATATATAAAGTGCGTAGTGTAATGTGATAAAAACTAATGCAAACACGTTACTGCTCGAAATTTTACATATAATCAACGAAACACAACAATTAAACAATTTGCCGGTAAAAACAAATAAAAACGTGGATTCTCTGTACAATCGTGTGATGTTCGTATAGGTTAGGTAAGCTGATGGTCAGTGGTGTATTTTACTAATAAATATATAATCTTACCAAAAATTTGAATAATGATGATGAATGCACGGATCTAGACGAAACTATAGCACTACAGAATAACTTTAATTGTGTATTCAAAAGACAACAACCAACTTTTTGATAATTAAACATTCAGAAAATATATCAGAACTTCCCTTGTTTTGTTTAGTTGCCGAAACGAAATTGATCCGCCATCTGCCTTACAACTCGTGAACTAATGACTCAAATGTGTGCGGAATTCAAAACAGCGAATCAACGATTTTAAATTTTTAAAGCAATGAAAAGTGTAAAATAATAATAATTTTAAATATATTTGAGAATAAATAAATTTTTAGTAGAAAACGTAATATGAGGAAAATTGCTTTTGTATTAAAATTTGTTTTCTGTCAGCAAAATAAATACCTGTATGAACACAAATTTTTTTCAATCATTTTTGTTTTATTCTTTTATTCAAAAGTAGAATCAAGTTTGATCTTTTGAAAAATATTTACAATATTTATAATTTTAATTGTCACTCACTTTATTAAAATTTGTCAACTGATTAATTTTTATTTACAATAATTTCAAGTTTCCAAATAATTTGATAATTTATTGATTTATAAAAATTAAGAAATGGGTAAAATGCAAAGATTATTGTGTTTCTTTTTATTATATGGAATTAATACCTACTAATATTAAAATATTTTATAAAAAACTTCTGTCGGGCTAAATATGTCGACACTTGATTTAGAAACAAATGTTTTATTTTTATAGTAAATGTGAAATTTAATGAAAAATTTTTTAAATGTATATAAATTTTATTATGTATTATACAAAGAATTGTGAGCTAAACAAATAAATAAATTAATGAAATATTCACAAAAAATGTGCCTTATTTTTAAAATGACACAAAGCACGAAATTTAAATGCTTATAATATAAATTGATGTGAAAGTAAATTATTAAATAGAAAATTCAAAATTAATAAAAAAAAATGTTTGTTAATAAATATTGGAATTACAAAATAGCCTCAATTTTTATTTACAATGCAGTGTCAATTAAAAAAAACAAAAAAAAATCGAAAAAGTGGTTAATTTAATTCAGTGTTGTCACAAAAATTGAATTTTGTATTTCCCTGATTTCCCCCTTTCACTGATTTTTAAATTCAATTATTTAAAACTTCAATAATTCTGTTAAATAAATATTAAAATACTTCTCATTTATTTTTCCAGAAAAAAAAAATTTTTAAGATTTTAATTTAAAACCTTCTGAAATTTAATAATTTCAAAAAATTACAACTTTTTCTTCTTCCAAAATTAAATTATTGTCTAAAATTTTTAGCTAAACTTCATCTTTAAATCAATTATTTTTAATAATTTTTTGAAATTTCTTCGAGAATTCAATTATTTTAAAACAAAAATTCTATTTTTATAATAATTGTGACTGTAAGTGATAAAATAATTTTTTAATTATATTTATACAGTTGGAAAAATTTCAAACAATTAAAATTTGGTACAATCATAAATCTGTTTTTAAAACTAATTGAATTTTTGAAAAATATAAAAAAAATAGTCAAATTTTTGAAGAGTTTTAATTATAAATATATGAAAATGATTTCTTCGAAATTTTAATAAGTCTAGAAAAGCAAATTTAAAAGAATTTAAATTTACTTTGTTTCAAAAATAATTGAATCTTAAAAAATTATGATAAAACAATTGTAAGAATTAGTTTTTAGAAAATGTTGTAATGTAATTTTTCAAGAATAACTGAATTTTTCTTAAAAGAATTTTTATTAAAAATTTTGATTATATGATTGTTTTCTCCAAAATGCAAATAATGTTTCAACAAATTTTAATGTTATTATTTTTTGTGTATTTGAATTTTCGGAAATGTGTTATTAAAAATATTGAAAATAATAATTATTTGAATTTGAAAAAATTCTAGAAGTATAATTTTTGTCTAAAATATTTTAATATAATTTTTATAAGCTGATTTTCATTAGTTTTCACTTTTCATTATTAAATTTACACTTGAAGACTTTTCTGTAAAATTTTTGAGAATTCAATTGAGTCGTGAATTTCGAAAAGGGCTCAACTCTAAAAATCGTAAGAGTCATTTTTACTGTCATTTGTTATGTAAAAATGACACTTATGGTTTTTAGAGTTGTGCCCTTTTCGAAATTCACGATTCAATTATTTTCAAAATTTGCAAATTTGCAATTATAATTCTTCAAAAGTTGATTTTAAAAAATTGTACACAGAGAGAGAGAATATATTTTATTAAATATTGTAAAAATATTTTACAAATTGGGGAAAAAGTGCGACAAAGCGAAATTTTTATATAAAAAATGCTAAACTTTAAAAAAACTTATGTGAAATTTAGTAAAGTTATATTAAAATTTAATAAATATTCTTGATATTTGATATAATTATACTAAATTCCACATAAATTTTTTTGTAGTTTAGCATTTTTTATATCAAAATTTCACTTTGCTGCATTTTTTCCCCAAACTTGTAAAATAATTTTACAAAATTTGATATATTTATCTCTTCGTGTATTAAAATACTTGACAAAATCATTTTCTTTTCAATTAAATTTTACAAAACTTCAATTATTCACAAATCTTTTAATTATAGGTATATTTCTATATTTTAAAAATTTAATTATTTAAAAAAAATTAATAATAAATAATACTTGAAAGACTTGTCTGTATAGTTATTTTTCACACTATAAAAATCGAAATAAGTTGCATTGTAAACAAAAAATGTGGTACTTTTTTTGCACATTTTTCCGTTTGTAAAATTCAACTTTAGAGGTAAATGTTGTAAATAAATTTTTTTTTCAAAACATTCGAGAACTTTTCTTAAACAATTTAATAATTCCAATTTTTCCTATCAATTCAGATTAAAATTAATAAAATGTACCATTTACAATTTTTTTTTTCACTTTACTTCACCAAAACATCCGAACTGTAACATTTTATTTAATACAATCGAACATTTGCAATAAAATCTAAACACAATTTATCATTAGCCAATATTGATAAAGTAGTAAAAAAATATGTCGAGATTACGAAAAAAACAGTTCGGTTGTTTTAACAAAGTGAAAGAGGTTTTTTTTAACAAGGTATCTATTTCCTTTTTATACAAAAAAATGAACAAGAATGCTATTAGGACACTTAAATATGTCTTTAAAAAATTGAATATTTTTGCGAAGATATTTCAAAAATAAATATATCTATTTCCTTAGAATAACAATAAATTCTCCAAAACCCTATAGCAATTCTCTCAGCAAAAATTATTTCAATAAAAAAATCTATAATTACAAAATTATTATTTACTTTCTAACCCATTCTTTAGGTTTTTTTAAAACTTGTAATAATTTATCCTCGCTAGAGTCAGGTTTTGGTTGGTGCATATACTCCCATTTCGCCGTTGCGGGAAGAGACATCAATATACTTTCGTATCGTGCCCCCGGTGTGTACAATCCAAATTTCGTGCCACGATCGTATATCAAATTAAATTCAACGTAACGTCCTCTTCTCAACAATTGCCATTGTCGTTCAGCGTATCCATAGGGTTTATTCTTATTTTTCGTAACCAGCGGTATATACGATGGAACGACAGATTTAGCGCACGATTTAACAAACTCAAAAGCCGCCTCCTGATTGGGAGTGTCTAAATCGTCAAAGAAAATTCCACCCACACCTCGACTCTCACCTCTGTGAGGTATGAAAAAATATTCGTCGCACCATTTCTTAAATTTCGCATAATACGAAGAATCGTGTTTATCGCAAGCTCTCTTCAATGTCTCGTGAAAATGTGTTGCGTCCTCTTCGTTCAAATAATATGGTGTCAGATCAGTTCCACCTCCGAACCACCATTGCTTCGTTCCGTCTTTATTTTCAACCTCGAAATATCGATAATTGAAATGTATCGTTGGCACCATTGGATTTCGTGGATGAATCACTGCACTTATTCCAGCGGCAAAGAATGGCAACGACCCCTCGGCTAAGGACTTTCCTCTGGCTCGCATTTGTTGAATGGCTCCTGGTGGCAGTGTACCCGAAACCACGGAAACATTTACACCGGCTTTCTCGAAAATATTGCCATTTTGTAAAACGCAAGTTATCCCACCACCACCTTCTTCTCTTGTCCATCGATCGACTACAAATATATCGCCCATATCTTCTTGCTTCTCCAGCTGATTGCAAAATTCCGCTTGTATATTCAAAATGAGGAGTTCCATTTTTGTTCTCATGTCATCTTTGTTTTTTATTAAATCCTCTTCTTTAGTGATTGGTTTTGCTTTGAATCGAGCCCTGTCTATTCGCAATTCAGCGGCAAATACGGAATTATTTGATGTCTTGTATGTTACAATACCTGCTGTTATTATTCCTGCACCAACGAATTTCACCAGTGGATATTTTGTTTGATGAGTCACTAAAGTGTATAATCTGTTCCATCCCCGGAAGATTGTTTGGGAAGACATGATTTGTAAATCTGAAAAATAACAAATGTTTATCAATTTAAATGAATAATAAAAATGTTGATTCAATTATTGATTTAATCAATTCATAGAATAATAAACTAACAAAAATAGAAAAAAGCTCATTAACACAAACAGTTCTTAAAATTGAATTTTGTATTACAAAATAACAATAGTTATTATTAACCTCAATTTTTTATTATCAATTAAATTTAATTTTTCCCTAATTTTCAGACTTTATCTCTAAGCATAAAAAATATTCTGATCCACTGTAAAAATCATTATTATGATCATAATAAAAAAAAAATTATTTTATTACATTTATTTACGAATTTCTTTAATTGTAAAATTATTCGAAAACAACAATAAATTTTTTCTAAATAAATATGTAATCATTATTATTTTTTCATAGGAATTCAGATTTTCAAAAATTTCAAATTCAACAATTTATAATAATTAATGTTAACCAAGTATTAAAATCATTATTCTATATAGATATAATAAAAATATTGTTACTGTAACTTCTTCTAAATTATTTTCATTATCATTTAAATTCAATTATTATTCTCTACAATTTTTAACTAAAATTTTTCTTTAAATAAATTATGTTCAATAAGTAATTTTTGGTAAAGTTCTTTGAAAATTTTCAAATTCATTTGCTTACAATACAATTTTACGAAATTTCGATTATTCGGAAATCATTCTAATCAATATTAGAAAATAAAAACTTAAAATAATTTCAAAAAAAATATTCAATTAAAATTTTTCAAAAATATTAATTCTTGAGAATTATATTAGTTTAAAGTATGAAAAATACAAATTTTCAAAGACTTTAATTTGAAAACTTTTCAAAACTTAATTTTTTCTAAAAATTCACGCTATAATGCTTTTAACAATTAATTATGATCTAAAATTTTAACTGAAATTCATTTTTAAATCAATTTTTATTAGAAAAATTCTACGAGAATTCAATTATTTAAATACAAAAAAATTATTGATTGAATTTTTCTCAAAACTGAATTCTTTTAAAGAATTTTATTAACAAATTTTTAACTACTTCCTTCCTTTAATTAAATTTTTAAATAATTAAATTCTTTCAAGGAATTTTGATAAAATTTTTAAGAATAATTACATTTTTCGAGGAATTTGATTAAAATTAAATTAAAAATAATTGAAATTCTGCAATGAGTTTGATTATTTATAAAAAATTATTGCATTCCTAAAAAAAATTATATTATTTATGAAAGTAATTGAATTCCTAAAAAGAATTTTATTATTTATAGAAATAATAGAACCTCTGTAAAAAATATTCTTTTTTATAAAATTAATGGAATTTTATTGCAAAGAGATTTATAAAAAAATTTGTAAGTAATTGAATTCCTGTAAAATTTTTATTAGGTATGAAAATAATTAAATTTTTGCGTAGAATTTTATCAACATTATTTTAAATAATTGTATTTTTTTGGAAAATTTTATTTAAAAAATTGAATATCATTAAATTGGGGAAAAATTTTAAAAATAATTGAAATGTTTCCAAGAATTTTATTAAAATTTTTGAAAAATAATTGATTTTCGAAGAAGAATTTTATTAGGTATTTATAAAGATAATTGGAATTATTACAAGGATTTTTAAAAATTTTTGAACATAATTGAATTTTTGCGAAGAATTTTATTAATTTTAAAAATAATTAAATTTCTGCGAATATTTATAACTTCTTCGAACTTCAATTTTTTAAGTGCGTTTTCCACTAAAATTCTTCTATAAATTTATAAAAAAAATTGTAAATAATTGAATTCCTGTGAAGTTTGCATTATTTATGAAAATAATTAAATGTTTGCGTAGAATTTTATCAAAATTTTTTTTAAATTATTTAATTCTTTTGGAAAATTTTATTAAGATAGTAGATATTGAAAATCATTGAATTGTGAAAAATTTTTGAAAATACTTGAAATTTTGCCAACTTTTTATTAAATTGAACTAATTTCAGTAGAATTTGAATTAATAAAATTTTTCAAAATTTTTAGTTCTTTAATATTTTCAATTAAATTCATTGAAAATTGAAATTTTATAAAATTTTAAATTGAAACTTTTTTGAAGTTCATCTGTTTATGAAAATTGTAAACGCAACTCTTTTAAAATTTAATTAGTTTTGAAATATTTGAGTAAAATTATTTATTAAATAGTTTATAAGTGATAATTTTATTTATTATAGTTCTTGAAAAATGAAGTTATTTAAAAGGAAATTATTGTCAGAAATAGAAAAAAATTTAAGGTTTTGTATTAGAATTCGTGGTAATTTCATAGTTTAAAAAAAACCGGGTTTCTTTTCTTCGAAAATTTAATAGTTTAACCCTTTTTGATATTAAGAGGAAGACTACTATTTATTGACATTTATAAAATTTATTTAGATCTGTTTGAATATTTAACAGAATATTTAAGATCATCAGCAAATAAGTTTTCATTTTTCAATTTAAATTATACATAATTATATAAAAAATTTGTAACATTTTGATTTTTCATAATAATATTTATGCATAAATTAACCATGGTTAATTCTTGCAACGTGTTATAACCTTTACAACTTTCTATGATGAAATATTTCAAGAAAATTTCAAGATTATACTATAATTATTCGTTTTAGATATTTTTTGAAATTATTTATCGAATTTGATCCATTTCTTTTACATGAATTACGAAAATACATTAAGAAAATAAAATAAAAAATTTCGAAAAAGAAAAAGTGAGGTTAGGATTCAGAAATTAAAGCATAATTATAGTATATTCTATAATCTACCAACTGTAGTAAGATAAACAAAATTGATTCTAATAAAAAATTCAATTCCAATAATAAATATACTTACAATAAATATTTGTTTCCTTAAAATATACGAATTCAATATTAATGAAAAAGATCTACTGAAGAAGTGTGGAAACTTCCCATAAAATATGTAATATTACAGGAAAAAATTGAGAAATCTACTTCTTATTGTCTCCATACAATTACAAAGCATATTTTTTCTAACTGAAAACTCAAACACAAATACTTTTTCACGTAATTATTTTTTAATGATATTTTTAATGATATTATTACTGAAAATATATTATAGCAAAGTATTTTGCAGATTTGGGAAACGTCAGTAGCATGCAAAAAGTAAACAACACACGACATAGATCAAAATAAAAATAATTTTCTAAAATTTTGTTAAATTTATAAAATGTTTCTTATATTATTTCTTTATGGAAAAATACAATTGAATTCAAATTAAATATACCTATGTAATTTCGAACGAAAGTGAAATAATTGATTATTAATTTTATTCATTTTATTATAATTATTGAAAAGAAAAATTGATCAATTGACTAGCATAGTACAGAGATAAATTTCAACTCCCTCTGCTGAGTAACTTAGAAAGTAGAAAATAAAGATGGCGAAATGTCATCTGATTCCGTAAACGGGTAGTTTAAAATAATTTTAAATGTCACTCATGTCAGACGTTAAATTAAGTGAAAACGTTATAAAAACGTGTCACAGGATTGTGCAAAAATGGAGCTATTTCGTACCGAATCACATTACATTTTCGTAAAGGAGAGACATAGTCTGTGGTGTGAAAAATATACTGGAGAACTCTCAGCAAAATCTGGTCAGTTTACATAAAATTAAATTTCTTTTTCATATTTCAAAGAATAATTAAACTCTCGTTGTTAGTCTTCTTTTACAATAATATATTCTCTAAGTATCCTTGTTTTTTATCTAGTGTTTAGTTGAATATTTTATGTAGCAACAATGGGCGTATATAATTGACATTTTATTTATTTATTTCTATGTAAATATTTATTTTTCTCTTTAAGAAAATTTTTTTTTAATTATATTTTTGTTTTCTTTGTAATGCCACCGCCACAATTTTTAACGAACAAAGTCAGGAAGTTCAGGAAGGCGTTTCATTTGCATTGTACTGTAATATACATTTGATTTGTCAAGCACATTTCGTTTGACGTTTCCGTTTTACAGATATCCCTCTTCTCATGTGTATAGAACAAAAAATATATTTAAAGATTTAAAATATAGTCTCGAGATTTGCGTAATAAATTGTGACATTATTGAGCTTTAGATCCTATTATATTCGTATAAAATTCATTTAAATACGTAATTAAAATGTTTGAGAAAAAGTCAATCTAGTTCACATTCCCATATAAAGTAGATTCCTTTGTTTGTCTCTTGTGCTCCAATTCCCAATGACATTTTCCTTGATGAAAAAATACCTGTTTAATTAATATTTACATAGGAATTCTATTTCTAGGAAGCATTACGTAAAGTCCATTTTATAATCCATCTCTATAATTATTCATTCTGTCTTCAATTTATATTAATATTTTTTTAATTTAAAGCTCCTCGTAAAAAATTAATAAATTTAGAAATTCATTGTAATAGAAATTTAGATGTTACTAGATTAGTGAGAGATAATGATAATATAAATAATAAATCAGTTGACTTTCTGACATTATGATAAAATGTAATAATGATCCGAAATAATGGAATTTTAATTATTTGATGATTATTTTTAAATCTGTCATCATTTTCATTATCAATGTTATTCATATATTTAAGTATTATTGTGTGTTTATATGATTGTTAAGAATAATATTTGTTGAAATAAAATGAAAATTGTATTTTTCTAGATTGGGAATGGGCAAGTGCTATCGATTTAGAATGCCTTGGATTCTTTTACGGAATTGTGGGAAAAATCGAACAAGCCTCGGTTCTTGAACCTCGTTTGATGCTAATAAAAGAAGTTGCCCCCGTTGGAGAACTATATGGTGGACATGTGGTGTATAAAATAAAATCCATAGCACTTTTAAATTTATTATCCGATAACAACGATATAGGATTGCTTCCTTGCAAAAAACATCAAAATGTACCGAAAAAGAAAGGAATGGGTGGCATGTTTGACGTCTCTCAAAAAGCTGGTTTCGCCAAAACTTGGGGTACGATTAAAAGTGCCACGAACACAATTAAAAATACGACACAACAAGCCGCTGCTCTTGCCACATCTCAGGTAATTTAATCAATAAAAATTTTCAGGGTTGTCACAGATCAGAAAATTCAGGAAAAAATTAGGCAAAGTAGAATTGGTCAGAAAAATCTGGAAAAAGTCAGGGATTTTTATTAAAAGTACAGGAAGAACTAAATGTTTAGAATTCATAAGAAAATTCTGAATTTTTGTGTCTTTTTTCTTTGCCTCATAAGCTAAGAAATTACCATGAATTCTAATAAATAAAACCTTCAATTTTTCTATTTCTGACAATAATTTCTTTTTCAATGACTAAATTCTTCAAGAACTATCATAAAATTATTACTTATAAATTATTTAATAAATAATTTTATTTAAATATTTCAAAATTAATTAAATTTTCAAACAGTTGCGTTTACAATTTTCATAAATAGATCAACTTCAAAAGGTTTCAATTTATAAAATTTCAATATTCAATGAATTAAATTGAAAATTGTAAATCTTAGATTTTTGAAAAATTTTAACAATTCAAATTCTTCTAAAATTAGTTAATTTTTTAATATATATTTAATTAATTATTCAAAATAATGAATTATAGAAGAATTTTAACTACTTAAAACGCTGAAAAAATTCAAATTTGGAGAATTTACAAATGATTGATGCAAAAATTCAATTATTTTCAAAATTCTTTGTAAAAATTCATTTATTTTCAAAAAATTTAATAAAATTCTTGGCAAAAATTTAAATTATCTTCAAAAATTTTCGTCCATTCTATGATTTTCAATATCTACGATTTTAATAAAGTTTTCCAAAAGAATTCAATTATTTAAAAAAAAAATTTTGATAAAAATTAATTAATGGAAATTAATTAAATTTTAAAAGAGTTGCATTGAAAATTTTCATAAATAGATGAACTTCAAAAAGGTTTCAATTTGAATTTTTATAAAATTTCAAATTTTAATTGATTAGGTTCAAAAATTAAAAAAAATTCTCATAAAAATTTCAATTTTCTTTGTGAATAATAAAATTTTATTAAAATTCTAGGTAAAATTTCAATTATTTTCAAAAATTTTTCTCAAAATTATGATTTTCAATATCTACGATTTTAATAGTTTTCCATTAGGATGCAAATTTTATTTTTTAAATTTTGATAAAATTCTACGCCAACTTTTAATTATTGTCATAAATGATAGAAATTTTACATGAATTCAATTATTTACAAATTTTTGATAAATTTCTTCCCAATAATTCCATTATTTTCATAAACAATAAAATTCTTTTTAGGAATGAAATTATTTTCATAAATAATAAAACTCATCGCAGAATTTCAATTATTTTTAATACAATTTTAATAGAATTCCTCGAAAATTTTTTGAAAATTTTATTAAATTTCGTCAAAGGAATTCAATTTTGAGAAATATTAAATTATTATATATATTTTTTATTTTTGGAGTTAAATAATTGTATTCTCGTAAATTCTATTTTAATTGAATTCCTTTGAAATTATTTGCTGTTTTTATTTTCTAACATAATATATTTAATTGAAGAATTTTTGAATAATAGAAATTGCGTTAAATTTCATTGTAAAAGAACGGATTTGAAAATTGTCAAAGAACTTTCGATAGAATAATAATTGAATTGAAATGATGAAGTTAATTTAGAAGTTACAGTAACAATATTCTTATAATATAAAATAATGATTTTAATACTTGGTTAGCATTAATTATTATAAAACATGAAGAAAAATAGTCGAAAAATAGTAATGATTACATATTTATTTAAAAATGAAGTTATTGATGTTATTTCGAATAATTTGACAATTAAAGAAATTCGTAAATAAATGTAATAGATCATTTTTTGTGTATCTAATCATTTTTAGAGTGAATCAGAAGTTTCTTTAAGGTTTGAGAAAAAACTCAAAATTTTGTCTGGAAATCAGGGAAAAACAGAATTAAATTTTTATGGCAACCCTAATTTTGAAACTTAACATTGTACTGAATAAAATAAAGAAGAATATGTAATTCCAAAGAAGATTTTTTACATTATCATCGTTTTGAACAAGAATGAAATCGAAAGTTAGGAATTTGTTGTTTTATTGATACTTCTATGGAATAAAATGAATAAGAATCTTTTTCTTTGTATCAGGTGAAGTCAACAGTAACAAAGCGAAGCGGAGTGAAAGACAAGGAAAAATTTGAAAAACGAATTTTGGAAGAATTAAATAAAATATTCACAGAAACAGATTCGTTTTTCTTCTGTCAAAGCGGAGATATCACGAATTCTCTGCAAAGACTTTGTTTTAAAGAATCGGAAGCAAACAAGGCGGATAAAAATCAACCTTTATGGAAGAATGTTGATGACAGATTTTTTTGGAATAAACACATGTTATTAGATATATTTAATTTAAAGGTTTTTATAATTTTCTATGAATACTACTTTTTCAATTCAAATTAATGTAATTTAAATAATTGGATTTTTTAATTTTATTTTTGTATTAAAAGTCGATTTTTATTTACTTTCATTTTTGCCCTTTTTGGACTTCAAATACATTTTTTTTCATTTTAATAAACAATTTTTAATTATTTGTCTTTTTTCATTTTTTAGACAGAAAAGGCAGATTGTTGGATATTGCCAATAATTCAGGGATATGTACAAATTGAACAGTGTAAAGTAGAAGTAGGATTCGACGTACAACCACAACATGAAACTTTCAATTTGGCGATTATATCCAGGAGAAGTAGATTCCGCGCTGGAACTAGGTAAAAATTTAAACAATTTTATCTACGATTTTAGAAAAATGCGACTTCTTTCGATTTATTTCCAAAAATTGCGACTTATTTCAATTTTTATAACATGGAAAATGACTATAGACAAATAAGAAGTATTTAAATATTTATTTAACAAAATTATTCAAGAATTGACTTTAGCAATTAGTGAAAGGTCAGGAAAGTACAAAATAAAATTTTTCTGATGACACTGAATTAAATAAACGACTTTTTTGTAGTATTAATTTACTGAATTTGAAAACAAAAATTTTAGATTTTTTACTGTGCTTTTAATTTTAAAAATCTTAATTTTTCATTGAAATTGAAAATTGTATAATTTGTGGACTTCATCAATGATTATTTCTTTTAGATACAAAAGACGTGGTGTGGATGAAGATGGAAAATGTGCAAATTATGTTGAGACTGAACAATTAGTTTGGTATCACGATCATCAAGTTTCTTTCGTGCAAGTTCGTGGAAGCGTTCCAGTATATTGGTCTCAACCGGGTTATAAATATAAACCCCCACCGCGAATAGATAAAGGTATTGTATTATAAATAATAATAATAATATTACAAACTTCCTCTTTTTTTAAATCAATCGAAACATTGATTAATTAAAATTGTAATTGCTCTAAATTTAAATTTATTCTAATTCTAATCAAACTTAAATTTAATTAATCAGAAATTGAAATCTGATCACAATTTTAATTGAAATAAATTAATTTTGGAATATGTAAAAGATAAGAAGGAGATAATATTTATTTTTCTTTTTGCAGATGAAGCAGAGACACAAGTTGCGTTTGAGAAACACTTCACCGAAGAGCTCAATTGTTATGGGCCTATTTGTATTGTTAATCTAGTCGAGCAAGCTGGCAAGGAGAAAGTAATTTGGGAATCCTACTGTAATCACGTACTTAATTACAATCATCCTGATCTCACATATGCTACTTTTGATTTTCATGAATATTGGTAAAGTTTAACATTATATTTTACAAATATCAGGGTGGCCACATGTCAGTAAAGTCAGGGAAATGACAGGAAAAAAATTTTTTGTCAGGGAAATTTAAAAAATTGAGATTTTTTTCGACTTTTCTTCCAAATATTGCAACAAAAAATCACATTTTTCAGTATTAAATGTAACTCATTTCGATTTTTATAGTGCGAAAAATATCTATATAAAAAAAAATAATAATTGAAAACAGGGTGTCTACTAACCGGGAAATAACCGGGGATTTTATTTGACCGGGAAAAACCGGGAATTTTTTCACAAAAATTAAAAAAGTTTTATTATTTTAATTTTTTTTTTTAAAATTACTTTTTATTTTAATTTTTATACATATTTATACTGTTCTCTAAATTTAAATTAGTTAAAAATAATTAATTTGATAGTAAAAAATCAGACAAAACATATCATGCAAAAAAATTTAAAAAAAATTATGGAGTTAATAGAAATATTGTGAAATTCGACTGAAAATATAAAATTAAATTTGTTAAAGAATTTCATTAGAAACTTTTTAACAAGTAGATTTTTTAAAGTATTTTAATTTAATAATTTATTAATAATTGAATATTATTGAACTTCTCTTTAATTTTTATCATTTCAAATTTCTGAATGTTCAAATAAATGATATTTATTTATTTCTTGAGCAAATTAAATGTTTATTACATATTAAGTAAATAATTAATTATTGCTGCTTATTATTTTCAAAAATTTTAATAAAATTCTTCACAAGAATTAAATTATTTTCATAAATAATAGCATTCTTTGGAAGGATTCAATTATTTTTATAAATAGTAAAATTCTTTGCAGAAGTTCAATTATAATTATAAAGAGACAAGATTATTTTTAAAAACTTGAAAAAATTCTTTGTTTAATTCAATTATTTTCCAAATTTTTAATTAAAATTATTGAAAAAAACATTATTTTAAAAAAATTTAAAGATTTATTTATGTTCGAAATCAAATTTAAATTTAAATTTGATGAGAAAAAAAACCGGGAAAAAATTAGGATGTAGCCGGGAAAAACCGGGAATTTTGTTAAACGAAAATAGTAGACACCCTGCTAAAAATACTTAATTTTTTAAAAGTATTTTATTAGAATTTTTGTAAATCAACTTTTGAATAATTTTAATTGCAAATTTTCAAAATAATATTGAATTATCAAAAATTCTAATGAAAAATCTTTAAACGTAAATTTAAAAATGAAAATTAATGAAAATTAGCTTTCAATTTTTTAAAATTAAGAATTTTCAGTTCTTTCAATTACATATTTCCGAAAACTCAAATACACACAAAAAATAATAATAATTTAGAATTATTTTTAACATTTTAGAGAAAAAAATCATGTTCAAAATATTTAATTAAAATTCATTAAATAATTAATTAGTTTTTTAAAATAAAAAATTACATTAAAATATTTTTAAAAACAACTTAACTCTTAGAATTGTTTTATGATAATTTTTTAAAATTTAATTACCTTCGAATAAAGCAAATAAAAATTTACTTTTTTGGACTTATTAAAATTTCGAAGAAATCATAGTCATATTTATAATTAAAATTCTTTAAAATTTTAATTATTTTCATTTTTTTTAAATATTATACCTTAATAAACTGAAGAGAAAAACACGGACAGTTACAATTATTATGAAAAATTGAATTTTCGTATTTAAATAATTTAATTCTCAAAGAACTTTCCAAAAATTATTTAAAATAATTGATTTAGAGATGAAGTTTTGTTGAAAATTATAGAAAATAATTGAATTCAGGAAGGGTTATAATTGTAATTTTTAGAAAATATTCTATTTCATAAATTTTACTCATTTTCCGTAAACTTACGTATGTTTTCCTGTGAAAAGAATTTTGTCAGGGAAAATAATTTTAATTTCAGGGAAATTGATAAACTGAAACTTGTGACCACCCTGAATATTTCAAGTTATCTATTTATTATTATTTCCAGTATAAGAAATTGAATTGAAAAATGAATTTTCTCCTTTACAGTCGTGGAATGCATTTCGAGAATGTATCGATATTGATAGGCGCATTGGCGAGTGTCGTGACTGACATGGGCTATTGCTGGCGAGATAAACAGGGAATGATCTGTATGCAAAAGGGAATTTTCCGAGTAAATTGCATAGACTGCTTAGATAGAACGAATGTCGTTCAGACCGCATTGGGAAAGGCTGTCATGGAAATTCAATTTTCCAAATTGGGTTTGATTCCTCCTGACGGCACATTGCCTGCGAATATTCGACAAACTTTTCAATCACTCTGGGCTAATAATGGAGATATCATCAGCAAACAATACGCTGGAACAAATGCTCTAAAAGTAAGCACGAACAAATTTTAATTTCTCGGAAATAATTCACTTGATTTAAAATTTATTTGAATTTATAATTTATTCATTTTTTATTCATTTAGGGCGATTATACGAGAACTGGAGAACGAAAATTCACTGGTTTAATGAAAGATGGAATGAACTCTGCAAATCGGTGAGTTTAATAAACTATATAAAATTATCTTTCATTTTTACTTCCTCATAGAGGAAGTATTTTTTTATTGAGAAAGCGCCATTTTTCGAATTTAGTACATTTTTTTTAGTTACACTACACTTTGCGAATTATGATTTTCAAACAGACTGAGTCTTTTTTAAAAGCTCATAAAGTCTTCGTTTTCCTTTTTCAAATAGAAGACGTAATTTTGGGCACAAATCCCACAAGAAGTCCCTGACACTTTCCTCTCATTGTCCAATTTAGATATTATCAACAACACTTTTTGGATGATATACGTCAAGCGGCGATTGACATCTTACTCGGTTATACAGTCAACACTGACCAGCTCAACATCGATTGGTCACATTATTTAGATATTCTCGATAATTGTTGTCTTGAACTTATACCCGCGAAGCCACCGAAAATTGAGATTCAACTTAATACTCACGCGGATATTCTTTATGCTACTGCAATGTTTAATATGACAAGGTTCGTCTTTAATATTGAAAAACATGCAAGTTCAAATTTCTATAATTATTCACTCAATCATTTTGTTTTCTATTGTAATCTCTTTAACAATCAGAATTGTTACATTTCTCATTTTGCAACGTTTAATATTCACTGGCGGTTTAATTTTTTTTTTAAATATCAGTTTTTCTCTCTAATTACACGAAAACTTTTGTTTCACGCGAATAAGTTTTGAAAACCATTTGACCATTTTTTTAATGATCGATTTCTTTTTATGAAAAAATTTTAAAATGTTGATTATATCAAACAGTTTAGAGGTGGCATAATTTCTTCGAAAAATCATTTTTTCTAATTTCAATAAGAGCCAACCGTTAGAATTGTTATAATATTGTTGTAGTTTCAAACTTTTTTTTAAGTTATTCTCAAATTTATCTTATCCAGGCCTCGGATAATATGACTTTTTCTACTTTTTTTCTACATATTGGAACAAAATGTCACTTTTTTGACATTAAATGTAATTTATTTCGATTGTCATAGTGTGAAAAATAACTGTAGTTAAATCTTTTCCTGTAAAGAGTCTCACTTTTTTCAGGGTTGCCACAGATAAAAAAAGTCAGAGAATTCAGGGAAAAGTCAGGAAATTCAAGGGAGAGTCAGGGATTTTTATTAAAAGTACTAGAAAACTAATGGATTTATAGAAAAATTTTAGTTATAAACACTAAAAAATAATTCAGTTTTTGAGAAGTTAAAAATGATTGCAGAAATTCAATTATTTTTAAAACTAATAAAATTCTTCGCAGAAATCCAATTATTTTCAAAAAGTTCCCTCAATTCAATTATTTTCAATATCTACTATTTGAATAAAATTTCTATAAAAATTCAATTATTTAAAAAAAATGTTTTATAAAATTCTACGCAAACATTTATTTAAAATTGGCATAAATGATTCCTAAATATTTCACATGAATTTAATTATTTACAAATTTCTTCACAATAATTCAATTATTTTTATAAATAATAAAATTCTTTTCAGGAATTCAATTATTTTTAATAAAATTTTAATCGAATTCGTCAAAAAATGTAATTCTTAAAAATTTTATTAAACTTCGTGAAAAGAATTTAATTATTAAAACACTGGTTGATAAAATTCTTTATGAGAATTCAATTTTGAGAAACATTGAATAAATTATTTATTTTTGTATTCAAATAATTGAATTCTCGTAGAATTTTCTATTAAAAATTGATTTAAAAATTAATTTCAGGTAAAGGTTTAGATAACAATTAAATATTAAAAGCATTATAGCATGAATTTTTAGAAATATTTGAATTTTGAAATGGTTTCAAATTAAAGTTTTTAAAAATTGGAATTTCTCATACTTTTATTTAACAATTCTGTAGAATTAATTTTTTTCAAAAGGTTTCATTGAAATTTTTTTAAATTATTTGAAGTTTTCAAATACAATTTGACAACTTTTTTACAGTTAAACGTTTTTTAAAGTTTTTTTTACATTTTTTTTTAAGTTAAACTAAAAAAGAAATTTAAAAAGTTTGGTTTTAAATATTTTTAAAACTTATGTTTGAGTTAGACTTGTTTTTAACATTTTTATCAGATTTTTATGAATTTTGACAATAACAGAGTTGTCGCAGGTCAGGAAAATCACGAAAGTTAGAGAACTTTATCTATAAATGCGACAATAGTTCTGTTTTTTGATGTCATTTGGAAATACTGGTGAATTAAATTTTGGAAGAGTTGTAGTAAAATTTTTGAGAAATAATTAAATTTCAAAAGGTCTGAAATTAAAATTTTTGAGATTTTGGAATTTGAGTGATTTTAATTAAAAACTTTAGAGATATTAGTTCTTTTAATAATTTATAGCAAATTATTTGAAATTAGTTGAGTTTTTGAATATATATTTATTTAATTAAAACACTTTTTAAACTATCGAAATTTCGTAATTTTGTAAAAAAATTTGATTTTAATCGAATTATAAGTGAACATTATTTTTTTAAACAATTAAACTCTTGAAGAAGAATTTAAAAATCATTAAAATAATAGATTTAGAGAATAATTTTAGTTAAAAATTTGACAAAATAATTGAATTTTAATTATATTTGTTTAATTTAGAATTAAATAAACAAATATATTATTTTAATACAATTTTTATAAACTTATTTTTTGAAGAAAAATTTAGAAAAATGTCAAAAATATCAAAAATTGATTTGCAAATAATGAAATTTTACAAAAATTTAGAATTGAAGTTATTATTGGATTAAGAAAAAAGTTAAAGTTTTCTGAATACTAGGGAAAAGTAAGGAAAATTGAAAATCAAATATCTGTGACAACTCTGAATAAGATACGACTTTTTAGAGTTTTTTTGTACTTTGAATCGACTAAAACATTTTTTGCTCCTTAAACTCGAAATCCGATGCCTAATGGTTGACCTAAATTATAAAATTTGAGGCAATTATTATAAATAATTCTGTTATTTAAGAAATTTTTTGTTTGCAAATTCTATGACAAAACATTGTTTAAATTATTTCCCTTGACTCTGAGATTGATAACATTTTATGTACACTATACTATGTTTATTATTATTTTCTTTTTAGTTTTAAGTAGGTATTTAATAATTATCAAGATTACTTTCAGTTATTAGTGATATTAAATAATTTCAATGAACAATTTTTTTAATTATTGATAATTTCCTAAGTTAACGGTAGCTTCATTATCATTAGTAATTAAAATGTATAATATATATATTTTTGTTGTAAGTAATGGTAGTTTCAAATAATGGTTGTTTTTAGCAATGGTGTTTATTTTAAATTGAATGTTTTTATTAATTGTAACATAATAAAATAGTAGACCAAAATATTGTTAGTATTGATAAATAATAGTAGATCTAATTAATCTTATTATTACCAAAATAATATTTATATTCAATTCCTGTATAACGTTGCAATCATTATAAAAAAAACAACTCTTTTTCTTCTCTTGTCTTGCTTACATGTTTCTTAATTGACTTGTAACATTTGTGTATCTAAAAGTGATTAAACTTGTATTATTTTTTTTTTATTATTTTCAGGTATTATTTGAATAGATTCAAGGACGTTTATAGACAGTCAACAATCGATATGATGTTGGGTAATCCAGTTAGCGAGGACATATTCCAAGAGCGCACTGATGAAGAAGATAATGCAGCGACGGCAATTCATGTCAAGCTTTTAATTGAAGATTGTAAAAAGTTATTAATACCGGATCTAGATTCTGTTCTAGGAAGCTGGGGACTCATTGACGCTGACCCAATGTACGTTCTCGTGTTTATTTTTTCAAAATTTGCTTTCTAATTATTTTTTTATTTTTTTTATCTTCATTTTATCTTATCTTCTTTATTTCTTTATTTCTTACCTTCGATTTTTTCTTATTTGCCGTTTCTGTAATTTTTTCATATTTTATTCTTTCATTTTTTCTTAATTACTCTTTTTTAAATTTTCCACACATGAAAAAGTATTATTTTATTTTCTACCCCCTTTTTAAAAAACGTTATTATTTTCTATTCTATTAATCCTTTTTATTGTCTCATTTTCTATTGATTATTTTTGTAATAGATTTCTATTTGTTAATTTTATTTATAATAACAAGGTTGCCACGCAACCTAGAAACCCTGGAAAACCTGGAAATGTCAGGGAATTTTATAAACCTTGAAAAAAACCTGGAAAAGTCAGGGAATTTTGAACGGAATCCTGGAAAATTATTGTTTTTTAATTTGAAATCTAATTTTACTTAAATATTTCAATATTAAATTTTTTAACAATTCAATTTTTTTTCAAAATAATTTCAATAGAATTCTACGCAGAAATTTATTTAATTTCAATAATTTATCAAAATTCAATTATTTTCAATATCTGCTATTTCAATAAAATTTCAAAAAATTATTCAATTGTTTAAAAAGAAATTTTAATAAAATTCGTCTCAAGAATTCAATTATTTTCAAAAGTAATAAAATTCTTGGCAAAAATTTTAAAAAATTCTTTTCAAAATTTCAATTATCTTTAGAAATAGCAAAAAAAAAATCCTTCGCCAAAATTCAATTATTTTCAAAAATTTTAATAAAATTCTTGTCAAAATTTAAATTATTTTCAAAAAAATTTCTCAATTCAATCAAATTTTTTTACAGCGATTCAATTATTTTTAATACAATTTTAATCTGATTTCTCGAAAAATAAAATTATTCTTACAAATTTTATTAAAATTCATCAAAGAAATTCCATTTCTTGAAAGAATTAATTTATTTTCAAAAATTTTAATGAAATTCTTTGCGTAACAATTCAATTTTTTTTTTAAAATAATTTTAATAAAATTCTACGCAGAAATTTATTTAATTTTAATAATTTATCAAAATTCAATTACCTATTTTCAATATCTGCTTATTTCAATAAAATTTCAAAAAATAATTCAATTGTTAAAAAAGAAATTTTAATAAAATTCTTCTCAATAATTCAATTATGATCAAAAGTTTAAAAAAGTTCTCTTCAAAATTTCAATTATCTTTACAAATAAAAAAAATTCTTTTCTGAAATTCAATTATTATTTTTAAAAATTTTAATAAAATTCTTGGTAAAATTTCAATTATTTTCAAAAACTTTTCTCAATTCAATCAAATTTTTTACACGCATATATTCAATTATTTTTAATACAATTTTAATCTAATTTCTCGAAAATAAAATTATTTGTCAAAAGATTTTTAATTAGCTATTTAAAAATTTGTTGATAAATTCTTTATGAGAGTTAAATTTGAAGAAACATTCAATTCTTCAATAAATTATTTATTTTTGTATGTAAATAATTGAATTCTCGTAAAATTTTCTAATAAAAATTGATTTAAATATGAATTTCAGTTAAAATTTTAGAATATTTTTAGAATTTATTTAGAATATATTTTTAAATATTTAACTCTCTAAATTTGAATTAGTAAAAATGTTTTCTATTTTGAATTAGCAACTGACTTTTTGCTTTTGAATTAGCAGATTTTAGTAATCAATAGTCGTCTCTACTAATTTAATAGTAAAATTTACTAATTCAAAAACAAAAATCAGTGACTATTCCAATTAGTAAACATTTTTACTAATTCAAATTTAGAGAGAAAGTATTATAGCTGAATTTTTAGAAATAATATTGAATTTTGTAAAGGTTTTAAATTATAATCTTTGAATGTTTAAATTTTTCATACTTTTAACTAAAAATTGTTCAGATTTAATTTTTTTTAAAAACTTCAATTGAATTTTGTTTAAGATATTTGATACTTTTATTATCTAATATATATTTGATTGCAGAATTTCCGAATAATCGACGAAATTTCGTAAAATTGAATTGTAAACAAAAGGATTAGAAAATTTTCAATGAAATTTTTCAAAAATTATTAAAAATGAATGAATAATTAATTTAAAGAAAAATTTTAGTTAAAAATTCTGGAAAACAATAATTGAGTTGAAGTGATGAAAGTAATGAAAGTAATTTTGAATAAGTTACAATAACAATATTCTTATAATATAAAGTAATGATTTTATTAGTCGGTTATTTTTAATTTATTTATAAAACATGAAGATATCGATTGCTCCGAGTCGAAGACTCGGAGTGATCGATTTCTTCATGTTTTATAACAATTTTTTATAAGTTTTTGAATTTCAAAAAGGTTTGAATTTAAATCTTTTGAAGAATTTTAATTATTATGGAAAAATTATAATGACTAAATTATTTAATTTTTTAAAATATAATTGTAGTTTTAAAAACCTGGAAAAATTACGTTTTTTAACCTGGAAAACTTGGAAAAGTCAGGGAATTTGAAATGAGCAAAAGCGTGGTAACCATGTAATAATAATTATTAAAAAAATTAATAATATCTTTATATTTTTACTTAATATGAAACTAAAATTTTTCAGAAATAATATTATTGATGAATTACAATTGAATTTACAGAACTGGCGATCCTACGGAAACAGAAATAGATACGATTCTCATTTTAACACACGATAGTTATTATGTTGCTGATTATGATGAGCAAATAGATAAAGTTACCAATTATCAGAGAGTACCTTTGACTGACATCGTTTTAATGGAATGCGGACATCCTGAAAGCACTGTTTCTCTTTTTAAAAATAAGCAGCACTATTGCATCAGAATTCATTACAAATTAAATAATGACTATGGATATTATCACATGTTTCGCAGTTCAAACTTGAGGTTTTTTAACAATATGGCAATAGTGATAAAAAGCGAGGAAGAAACTATAGGTAACGATTTAGTTACTTTAAAAATAAATAAACTTTTTTATTTTTCTTTGTAATATTTTTAAATTCTTAGAATGATGATAAGAAATCAAGATTTAAATTGATTTCTTATTTATCATAAAAAAAAGAAAATACATAAAGTAAAAACTGAAAAAGCAATAAATATTTGATTTGTTTCAGAATCTTTGAAAGCGATCGGGGAAGCAATCACTGTAGCGATGGAAATATCAGCTTTACCAAAAGTACCAATAGCAATGAATGTAGCTTTAGACAAACGAAAGAGTAAATTGGTTAATTCAAAGGGTCACACTGGACTTTTGGATATTTCCACTTTTCCAGACTTGACACGAAACGTCTCGGAAACGCAATTGTTAGCTCTAAAAAATGCAGGTTTGTGTAAATATTAACATACATTTTTTTTACTAATTTTTAAATATTAAAGCGATTTTTAAAAAAATCAGACTTCGCACTCATATATTAAAAATTATACTATTTGCTGCTTTTTACGATTTGTTACTATTTGGATACTTTTTTTAGAGTTTAGGCACTAAAAACTACTTTTTTCATTTCTTTTTAGAATTTACATTACTTTAAATCAGCTAATAACTGAAATAAAGAAATTATTCTCAAAAATTTTAATAAAATTCTTTGAAACACTTGAAAAATTTTTAGTAAAATTTGTTTGAGACGATTTAACTATTTTCCAAAATTTTAACTAAATTCTTTCCAAGAATTCAATTATTTTCTAAAAAATAATGAAATTCTTCGGCAAAATTCAATTATTTTCAAAATCTACTATATTTAATAAAATTTCACAAAAAAATTTTAATCATTAAAAAAAAATTTGAATAAGATTCTTGTCAAAAACTTCAATTATTTTCATAAATAATAGACTTTTCACAGAAATTCAATTATTTGAAATACAATTTTCATAAAATTTTTTGAAGGAAATTAATTATTTAAAAACAATTTTATGAAATTCTTGAAATAAAATCAATTAATTTTAATAATTTTGATAAAATTTGTTTATAAAAATTAATTTATTATCAATGCAATTGTAATTATTTTCCTCAGGAGAATTTAATTATTTTCAAAATTCCTAATAAAAAATGTTTCTAAAAACTACAATTATTTAAAAGCAATTTTATGAAATTCTCCGAAAGAAATCAATTATTTTTAATAATTTTGATTAAATTTGTTTATAAAAATTCATTTATTATCAATGCAATTGTAATTATAATTAATTATTCTTGTTTATTATTTTCAAAAATTTTAATATTTCGCAAGAATTCAACTATTCTCATAAATAATAATATTCTTTCAAAGAATTCAATTTTTTTATAATTAGTAAAATCCTTTGCAAAAATTTAATTATTTTCCAAACATTTTAATAAAATTTAACAAAAGATTTCAATTATTTAAAAAAAAAAATGTTAATAAAATTCTTTGCAAGCATTCAATTATTTTCACAAATAATAAAATTCTTGACAGGAATTCAATTATTTTCAGAAAAAATAAAATTCTTCGTAGGATTTCAATTATTTTGAATACAATTTTAAATGAATTCCTCAAAAAATACAATAATTCTTACAAATTTTATTGAAACTCTTTAAAAGAATTCAATTATTTTAAAAAAATTTTGAAAAAATACTTTATAAAATTTCAATTTTAAGAAACAATCAATTAATTATTTTTTCATTTAAATAATTGAATTCTCGTAAAACTTTTTAACAAGAATTGATTTAAAAATTAATTTCAGATAAAATTGTAAATAATATAATTAAATAATATTAGTTGCATCATAATATGAATATTATAATATGAATTTTTAGAAATAATTAAATTGTAAAAGATTTTTAAATTGCCTGTCTTTGAAAATTTTAATTGTTGTAGAACTGCAGTAATTTTTAAATGTTTATCATAAAAAATTAACTATTTATTATTTTCCAAATAAATTATTAAAGTTTAGAATAATTTTGTTTAAAAATTCGAAAAAATTATTGATTTAAAAAGAAAATTACAGTTTTGTAATTTTTTTTTAGGAAGAATTAAATTTCAAAGAAGTTATACATTATTGGAATAATTAAAAATATTAATTCCTGTGGAAAATAAATATTTAAGTTAACAAATATTATTGAAGTTTTGGCTAATTTAATTTAGAAATTATGAAATTAAATCCTAATTAAATTTAATTTTAATTTAATTAAATAAATTAGCCTTTTGGAAAATTGTAATTAAAATTTTTTGAAGTTAGTTAAATTCATGTAAATAATTTAAAAAGATTAGATTAAAGCAATTAATTGAAGACTTTTTCAAATTTAATTACAATAAATTTTATATTGTAAAGAATTTTATTTTTTTTACTTTTAATAATTATTTTTAAATATACCTAATTGTATTTTTGGAATATACTAACAAAAAATTTGGAAAATAATTGAAATTTAGAAAAATTTGGAATTTAAGTTATTACGAGAATAAGAAAAAAATATATTTTTTTATAGAAATCAGGAAAAACTCAGGGAAATACTTAATAAAATTTTTGTCAATCAACTAAAACGAATTTTTTTCGTCTCAAATTTAATTTTTCGATAGCTACTTTTTGATATTCCTGAAGTTAGCGTCGAAAACTATTTTTTTTGGGTTTTTAGAGATAAAAATGTCACTAATTTCACTCTTTTTATTCACCTAAGAAATTGAAAAAAGCAGAGGTCAATTTTTTATTTCTAAAACTTTTGAAACAATTCTTTTTGATTTAGCGAAAAAAATGGTTTTTGACGTTCAGGGACCTACTTTTTGATACTTTTTTAAAATTAATTATCGAGTGCAAAGCCTGTAAAATTAAAAAAAAAGTTTGTTAATAAAATAAGAATAATATTAAAGTAAATTTTTTCCTATTCAGGAACAAAAGCCTTGAGCAATGTGTCCGAACAATTCAGCAAATTAAATAAATTCGGCCACAGCATCACTTCAAAGAATCCAATGAATTTGGCGAAAAATTTAAGTAACAAAAAATCTGATTCCAATAAACCAACATTTACCGTTGGCAGTCGTGACATTGCGGGGAATTCAACGAGAAAATCAAACAACAGTAGCAGCAGTAATAGCAGTAATGAAAATATTGAACTGGTGCCCGTACGTTTTGAGAAGCCCGACAATTTCGAGCACGACAAGAAACTCATGGAAGGATACACACCAGTCATTGGAATCATAATGGGCGTCAAGAACGACGCTCTCGTCGAGAATGGCCAGCAAAATCAACTAAAAATGGATAATTCAAATAATGATTCTAATCTAGCGGAAAAGACAAATCAGCATCCCATTGGTTTGAGTCTCATTCCACATTCACAATCTGGCTCTCACATTCTCGACAGATGTGACGCTGGTATATTAGCAACAACGCCTGAAATTACAATCCAAGGTGTTGACACTGCTACTTATGAAAATACACCGTCGAGTTTGAATCTTCCAAAGAACATCAGTCACTCGTCGGGCGAGGTTGACGGTCAAGTGGTGTCGTCAACAACATTGAAGGGCGCTTCATTACAGGCGGAAGCGAAATTAGATAAGAAGCGATCGACTTCGGAGCAAGATTTAATTTTGAGTATATCGTCATCGCAGAGTGAGTCTGCTCTCAAAACGATGAAGTCCGACATTACCAGTCCCGCGACCGCAGCGGCGAAAGATCTTTTCTCACCGTTCACCAAATTGGCCAAGGGTGTGCAAAATTTGGGCGCAAATCTAGATCCAAGAAAATTGAAGTCGGGACAATTGGGAATGACGAGAAATCTATCCGATCATCATTTGGAGCAACGGCAGAAACTTCAAGAGCGATGGGTAAAGTGTAAATCCAAATTAATAGCTCTCTAAAGAAAATACGTCAGAGGTTTGTTAAATAATTCCTTTCTTCTCCATACTTCTCGTTTTTAATTGCAACGTGGCTATAATTTTTCGTGAGCAACGTGTGTAAATATTTCCTAGATCGTATTGGAAAAATAGCAACAAAAAACACCAAGTTTTAAGATAGTTTGGAAAATTAGGAATTTCGGAATTGAAGATTGTTTATTCATATTATACAACGATTTTAATTACATTTCAGCAGGGTTGCCACAGGGTTCCCTGGAATTCAGGGAAAAGTCAGGGAAAGTAGAATTGATCAGAGAAATCAGGGAAAAGTCAGGGATTTTTAGTAAAAGTACTGGAAAAAATTGAGATTTTAAAATTCATAAGAAAACTCTCAATTTTGAAGGAATTTAATTAAAAAATTTTAAAGAATTTAGTTTTTTTTTAAAATTTTAATAATTCAAATTCTTCTGGAATTAGTTACATTTTTTAATACATATTTCATTAATTATTAAAAATTATGAATTAGAAGAATTTTAGTTAAAAACACTAAAAAAAATTTAATTTTGAAGAAGTTACAAATATAATTGCAGAAATTCAATTATTTTCAAAAGTAATAAAATTCTTCATAAAAATTCAATTTTCTTTATAAATAATAAAATTCTTCTCCGAAATTCAATTATTTTCAAAGATTTTAATAAAATTCTTGGCAAAATTTCAATTATTTTCAAAAAATTTTCTCAATTCGATCAAATTTTTTTACAGCGATTCAATTATTTTTAATACAATTTTAATCTAATTTCTCAAAAAATGAAATTATTCTTAAAATTTTTTTATTAAAATTCATCAAAGAAATTCAATTTCTTGAAAGAATTAAATTATTTTCAAAAATTTTAATGAAATTCTTTGCGTAACAATTCAATTTTTTTTAAAAATAATTTTAATAAAATTCTGCGCAGAAATTTATTTAATTTCGAGTAATAATTTATCAAAATTTAATTATTTTCAATATCTGCTATTTCAATAAAATTTCAAAAAATAATTCAATTGTTTAAAAAGAAATTTTAATAATATTCGTCTCAAGAATTCAATTATTTTCAAAAGTAATAAAATTCTTTGCAGAAATTCAATTATGATTGAAAGTTTAAAAAAGTTCTCTTCAAAATTTCAATTATGTTTACAAATAAAAAAAATTCTTTTCTGAAATTCAATTATTTTCAAAAATTTTAATAAAATTCTTGGCAAATTTTCAATTAATTTCAAAAACTTTTTTCAATTTAATCAAATTTTTTACACGCAAAGATTCAATTATTTTTAATGCACTTTTAATCTAATTTCTCGAAAATAAAATTATTCGTCAAAAGATTTTTAATTAGTTATTTAAAAATTTGTTGATAAATTCTTTATGGGAGTTAAATTTTAAGAAACATTCAATTCTTCAATAAATTATTTATAAATAATTATAATTATAATTATTATTATTTGTAAATAATTGAATTCTTGTAAAATTTTCTAATAAAAATTAATTTAAATATGAATTTCAGTTAAAATTTTAGATTCTATATGAATATTAAACTCTCTAAACTTGAATGTAGTTTTTTAAAAAATTTTAATAATTGAAATTCTTTTAAAATTATTTACATTTTTTAATACATATTTTATTAATTATTAAAAATTATGAATTTACAGAAGAATTTTAGTTGAAAACACTAAAAAAAATTGAATTTTGAAGAAGTTACAACTATAATTGAAGAAATTTAATTAATTTCAAAAATAATAAAATTCTTCACAAAAATTCAATTATGTTCAAAAATTGTTAAAAATTCTCGTCAAAATTTTAAGTATCTTTATAAATAACAAAATTCTTCTTTGAAATTCAATTATTTTCAAAAATTTTCCTCAATTAAATGATTTTAAATATTTACTATTTCAATAAAATTTTCCAAAAGAATTCAATAATTTTATTAAAAATTTTATTAAAAAAAATCTTAATAAAATTCTAAGCAAACATTTAATTATTTCCATAAATAATTAAAATTTCACAGTAATTCAATTATATTTACAATTTTTTATAAATGTCCTCTCAATATTTCAATTAATTTCATAAATAATAAAACTCATTGCTGGATTTCAATTATTTGCAAATTTTTTCGCAATAATTCAATTATTTTTATAAATAATAATATTGTTCTGAGTAATTTAATTATTTTCATAAATAATAAAACTGATTGCAGGATTTTAATTATTTCTGATACAATTTTAATCAAATTCCTTGAAAAATGTGAAAATTTCTTAAAAATTTCATTAAAATTCGTCAAAAGAATTCAATTATTTAAAAATTTGTTGATAAAATTCTTTATTTTGAAAAATTTTATGACAATCTAAATTATTATAAAACATGAAGAAATCGATTACTCCGAGTCGAAGACTCGGAGTGATTGATTTCTTCATGTTTTATAACAATTTTTTATAAGTTGTTTAATGTTAAAAAGGTTTGAATTTAAAATTTTTGAAAATCTTTATTTCTATGGAAAAATATTAATGATTAAATATTTATTTAAAAAAGAAGTTATTGATTTTTTTCCGATTTTGCACGTTAGTTTCGTTGAACCATTAGAGTAATTTTGTATTTAAATGTATATTGATTATTTCTTTTTATTCAACATTATTTATTAAAAGTTATAGATGTTTTCGAATAATTTTACAATTCAAGAAATTTGTCAATAAATGTAATAAAAAATATTTGTGATTATCTAATAATTTTCAGAGTGAATCAGAATATTCTTTAGAGTCAGGGAAAAAGTGAAAATTTTGTCTGGAAATCAGGGAAAAGTCAGGGAAAAACAAAATTAAATATATTTGTGGCAACCCTGTTCAGTAGTTGTAGTTCCCAAGGATTCTATATGTAATTCAAATTTACGATAGTTACCAAATTTCAAATTCACCTCAACGTTAGTTATTTAAGTAATAAAATTAATAAATTAATTAATTAATTAGAATTAATAAAATTAATTCTAGTGTACAGTAGCTGCAAATATTGGTATTTAGTATCAATTTTTTAACACAATATTTGCAAAAACAAACAAATTTTGCTTCCCATTTTAAATAATTTTAATTTAAATTTTAATTTTCTATTCTCCTCAATGTCAATTTATAAATTGAAAAGTCAATACGCCGATGGAAATTTATTTTCCAGAAATGAAAAATTTTCTGTGCCTTTATTTTTATAAGTGTCAGTTATTTCTCAATACAAATTTGCATATCTATTTCTTTTTTTTAAAAGAAAATAATTATATCCACGTTGCGTGCTTATTGATAAATGAGCTGACTTTTACTGAAAAGATTTTTTACTTTTCTAAATGCATTGAAAGAAAAGTACAATACAGTCAATATTGTTCCATTAAAGACGATATTTTACGTTAATTAATATTCCTCTATTTTGAAATTTTTTACCAATTTTTGCAAAAAAAAAAGAACAGAAAAAAATGAAAACTATAAATTTACCTGGAATTTCAGATTATAAAACAAAAATCTATTTTTACATTCTGTGGAAAGAAACGGGAACATTCTTCGAATTAAAAAGATAATTTTTTTTTTTTCGAAAATGCAAAATCTCTGCATTAAATATGGAGAATGTTGTTTATGAACAGCGCAAATTTCTTGCTGTATATTTAACAGATTTTAAGGATTTTTTTCTTGAATTGTAAATAAATAACTGAAATGATTTTTCATTGTTGGAATCTACATAATGGATAGATTCTAGATGTTAAATTTTCTTAGTTCCATTAAAAACTCTTTTTATTCTTACTAGGTATATGTATATGTTTAAATTTATATTATGCAAATGTTACGCGAGCCATCGCGCGAAACGTGGTATTCCATTCATTATTATTTTACAATTTACAAAATTTTACATTTTCAAATATAAACATCAATTTTTGAATTTAATTTAATATTCAAAATTTTTTAAATTCTCTTTTTAAGTGCATAATTAATTATTCTCATAAATAATAGCATTCTTTGAAAGAATTCATAAAATTTTTTGAAAGAAATTAACTATTTAAAGAAATTTTTATAAAATTCTTCGAAAGAAATCAATTATTTTGAATAATTTTTACAAAATTTGTTTATAAGAATTAATTTATTTTCAATGCAATTGTAATTATTTTCCTCAGAAGAATTCAATTATATTTCTATAAATAAGAAAAATTCTTCGCAAAAATTCAATTATTTTTCTAAATAGTAAAATTCTTTTCAGGAATTCAATTATTTTCAATGCAATTTTATTAACATTTCTGGAACGAATTCAATTATTTTTAAAAATAATTGTAATAAAGCATTTCTAAAAAATTCAATTATTCTCAAAAGTTTTTACAAAATTCTTTGTAAATTTCAATTATTTTCAAAATTTTCAATTCAAATTTTTAAAAAATCTACATTATTTAAAAAAAATTAACCAAAAAAATTTAATTATAATTTACCAAAATAATTTATAAAAAATTTAATAATAAAATTATTTATTAAAATTTCTAATAAACAGGATTATTTTAAAAATTTTAAATAAATGCTTTATAAAATTAAATTACTTTCAAAATTTCCAATAAGAATTAGTAAAAAAAAATTCATTATTTTAAAAAAATTCAAATAAATTCTTTAAAACAATTTAATTATTTTCAAAAAATTTAATAAAAATTTTGATAAGAATTAAATTATTTTCAAGAATGTTAATAACTTTCTCTGAAAGAATTCGATTATTTCCATAATTAATAAAATTCTTTTCGAAAAATAAAATATTTTCAATGTAATTTTAATAAAATTCTCGAACGGGTTCAATTATTTTTGAATATTGTAATAAAGTTTTTTTTAAAAAATTCAATTATTCTTAAAAATTTTGATAAAATTCTTTCTAAATTTCAGTTATTTTCAAAATTTTCAATTAAAATTATTAAAGAAAACTACATTACTTCCAAGAAATTTTTCAAAAAAATTTAATTATTTACAAAAACTCTAAAAAAATTGTGTAAAAGAATTTAATTTTCTATCAATAATTTGTATAAGATTTAATTATAAGATTATTAACTGCAATTACTAATAAACAGGATTATTTTCAAAATTTAAAATAAATTCCATTATTTTTTAAAAATTCAAGGAAATTCTTAAAACAATTCAATTATTTTCAAACATTTCAATAAAATTATTGCCAAGAATTAACTTATTTTCAAAAATTTTCATAACATTTTTTGGAAGAATTCGATTATTTTCACAAATAGGTAATAAAATTCTTTGTGAGAATTCAATTATTTTCAATGTAATTTTAATAAAATTTCTCAAACGGTTTCAAATACTTTCAAAAATT